GAAAATTTACTGAATGTGTTCAAAATGTTATTCTTCCATTGTCCTTCCACTGTGTTGAGGTCTACCACACTTTCTGTGTCAGAAAAGCCTATCAGTGGGGCTGGAAAACAGGGCCAGGTCTGTTTAGGTTTGAAGATAGTCTTGTGTGTCCTCACCCCAGTACAAGCGATTTAGATAGAGTTATTCGAAGAGAAGATGAGGCAACTTCAATCCTTTCAGACCCATCACCTCACACATCTCCCCTCTCTGCCCCCAGAGGCTTTTGGTACTTTCCATTCTCTCCTAAGTCTCTCTCTTCCCATGCCCCATTCCTTGTGCTAGAAAACTGACTCCACCTCCTTGCCAAACCATGATGATGCTTCTCAATCTCTTTCCTCTCTTCCAAATACCTTGCCTTTCTTCATGTACCTGAATTTTCTTATTTCCAAGCTGTGTTTGCACTCTTGAGCCGTCCTTTTTAGAATTCTTCCGTGTTCTTCCTCACTTGCAGTGAGCTACCACCAGATTGCTTGGAAAGTGCTACAATTTTTCAGGGTTGCATCTGCTGTCATTGCCTGTTTAGTTGGCCAGAATTATCCTCCATCACTCTTGTTCCTTCCCTGAGAAAGATTCAACTTTATGGAGACTCTGAATTTGCAATTGTAGAGTTTACTTAGAGAAAATTAAATAGACAGACAGTTTGACAGTTTCGCAATGCTTAAAATCCATGTAAAGGTAAAACAGCCACACCTGCCTAGGACCCTGGGGAAACCTGACTTATCAGTTAAAGATGTGGTATTAAAGCATATGAGTTTTTGGTTTTCCTTTTTACTTAAATGTCTTCTTTGTAACTTACAAGAACTGAGTTGCTTTCCCCTTTGATTTTCATAAATTTTACTGTTAAACCACTGTTGGATTTTATATTCCCTTCCTTCTTACTGTTCAGTATAGTAGAGCACTGACAATTGTGAAGTGTTTTATCTGATCTCTAAAAGAGTTTGTGGAACTGCAGGATGGGAAGGCCATCCATGTCTACAGAAGGGAAGCCAGTTTTCCTTACTACTTAGAGCTGAATGCAGTCCAGACACTAGTTGGACAGTAGAGAAGTGGTAAATAAGTAAGTAAAAGCTTACTTTTCAAGCTTTGATCTTGCAAGGAAGTTTAATTATTGCAGTCAGTATTAGAAGTGTACTTGCCTGTCTTACCACCCTATAATAACAGTGTGTTTATTCTGCAGTAATTGCATTGGAAGCTGAAATGATCTTAAAGTAATTGAGCCTTGTTCTTCTACAAATCAGCAGTCCTGGTCAACCGGGGAGGTCCCGGATGACTGGAAACTAGCAAACGTGACGCCCCTCTGCAAGAAGGGTCGGAAGGAGGATCCCGGGAACTACAGGCCTGTCAGCCTGACCTCGG